GGGAGTGTATAGTGCACCGTACTCTAAGGTGTTCTCTAACTGATAGTTATTAATTATTTTTATGGGGGATGGAGGGGGGTAGAACTGATTTTAGTGTTTGGGAATATTCTGAGGCGACGTCTTGGTGGTGTTTTTGTGAGGGGTTTTGCAGCGTAGCAGGATAAAAAAAGTTGACGAGGTGAGGGAGGGGTTGGTGGGACGTGATAGGATAGTAAGTATGGTGGGATTGGGGAATTTTGGGGGTGGGATGGGGTGGGGGAGTGAAGTAGATTGAAGAAAGGTGTCTTTATTTACAGTATGAAATGAATGAAGAGACGAGAGAAACAATGTACACAGAGGTTAGGAAGGAAGAAGTATCAATTTGTAATTAATACTGTCAAGGTCAACCCGGGTTGTGCGGGATACATTCCAGCGAAAGGCGGGAATACCTAATGGAAATTAATTCTCTCCCCACTGTGTAATCGAACTCTGGTCTCCTGCGTGCCACAGCGAGGGCGCCTAACCGATACACCACAGACGACGGTAATGTGTCTGCATTTAAAAATTGAAAGATCTTGAAAGTATGTTAGTGTTTTAGCGCTTATAAATGGTTGCTTGCACTGTATGCTTCCCAGGAAGTTGAGTTTGTTTCAGAATGCTCTCGGGTCTGCTGGGGTAATAGTATAGACTGTGAAGCGCATAGAGCTTGCTGTTGAGCTGGGATTTGCGCTATACAAATGCTATCTATTATTATATAAGGTGCACTGTTGGATTTTAGAACAATTATTGAATTGCTGATTAACCAAAAAAATCCAAGTCCCGGAACGATAGTGAGTACATGGTGGAATCGGTGTGTAGGTTTTAGTGTTAGTAATGTATTAGTGTAGTAATTGCTGTTTTTTCTTATTATACACATTTTTCATATTTCAATCAAGGTCGCCCTCTCTCAGTATTCGCCAGGTCTATGTTGCGACCTTGCACGGCTGACGGAAAGTTGACTACAAGTAAAATAAAGCCAAATCAAAGAAATCTAGAAAGTGTGTTCGCGCTTATATTGAGGTGCATCAACATTGGTGGAATTGACATGTATTGAATATCAATTGAATTGGAGAACATTATGTTTGTTAGGGCATAATCATCTGTCAGTGAGGAACTGAGGTCAGGAAACTGCCATGGTTTGGGGTGGTCTGACTGTAATGAACAGACTCCCACTTGCGAGAATCAACGGATGGCTTCGTATAAAGCCTACATCGGGAAAGTGCTGGAACGTCCCGTGTAACCATAATTTTGTCATGATGTCAATCAAGTCAACATCTTATTACAAAGCACTTTCTCACAGGACCAACACCACTAGATAATTCTTGGGTAACCAAATCATACCTGCGAAGGAGTGGTCCCCAGTAAAATAGCCCTGATATGAATTTAACAGATAATTTAATGTTCAGTCCCATTGAACAATAGTTGAAGAAACACTACGTTTTGTTTGCAACTCTAAATAACATTTGGGATAAACTGACTGATAATTATATCCAAAATTTAACACCGTCCCTGCACAAATGGTTTGTGCTCTATACAAAACCAATGACTCCTAAACAAAATACCAATGAGTGCATATTTAATGTCAAGTCCAGGTTTTGCATGGTAGTCTCCGCCTAAACGCACGGTGTTCGGGAGGGCTCCTTAGCGTTTGTTTACACGGAGCGTGCGTTTACATAAACCTTTGCAAGTGGAGGAAGGGACGCAGTCATCTCAATTCCTTATTACTCTAGTGATCTCCCTTGGAGGAGGGAGTCATTTTGGCAGATAATGTGACGACACCTGACTGTTTTGTGAAGGATTCCCCGACAGGGGTTAAGAATACAAAGGCGTTGAATGGGGGGGGGGGGGAAAGATAAACTCAGTGTAATGAATATGCACTGTAAACGTCGGGAACAGATAGCCTAAGAGGAAACTATTGGTCATAGTCATAGAGACAACGGACATGCCACGTGGCTTTCC